CTTGAGAAGCCTAAAGTACAGTACCACCGGGAGAGAGGTCAAGCGCAGGACCAACGGCTTTACGTGCTTGCCGCGGCACGGAGGTGAGACACCGCCAACTGCCTGACTCCTGGCAGCTAGTGAGAATTTCTTGATGGAAAAGCTTAATAAATTATTTATTTGGTTCGACCCGGGATCCGAACCCGGGACCTCATGATCAGCAGTCACATTTATTTCAACCACTAGACCAACGAGGCAATCAATGCATATATACATTATAGTGATATGATTGTGAAAACATGGTACCATTACGATTTTCATGGCTCATTGATAGAGTATTTTCTTTTTGCCAGAGTATCTCAACTAGCGGAAGTGAATAAAATGAGTGCACATAACCTGAGTACCGTCTTCGCCCCAACTCTGGTAGCGACTCCGCCCGCCATCACCGACCTGGCATTCGAGATCCGAGCTTTACAAGCGCTCATCGAATATTGTCCACAAATATATTATGGAAATAAGTGAAAGTGCTACACACTATTTTCGAAAAAAAAAATTAGACTTTAAACAACAAAACGATGTCTAAACGACAAAGGCTTGAATGTTTGGGACTTGAAATAAAAAAATAGGACTTTGCCCTTTTCTGTATTTAACATCAATGGTAACTCAAGGGTTAAAATTTCTTAATGTGCTTTAATGGAGCCTGGTTAAATTGTAATTATTTGAAATGCATAGTTGTAAATATAACAACTTGTTCAATATTCGTTAATCAGGACTGAATAAGGATTGCAGATTTGTTTTATTTTGATATTTTTAAATTCAGTCATCATTTTTAAAACTTCTTTAGGCACGTTGGCCACTTTTGAGATGGGAAAAAGCACTGAACTCGCGTGACCGTCACGCTCAAATACATATACACAGATGCATGCAGTCCTACGATTGACATTTTTTTATTAGCGGCAACACTGACTTAATCCCATTTTAATTATAGTAATTGTATATTTTTAAATTATGTTTTTTTTTATTTAAATGTAACCAAGTGTCTAGTTTTAGATACATGTTAAGACTTATGTTATTGGAATCTTCCATAAGCACTTTTATTACGTGCAATATCTCATTAGTATATTAGTTTTGTGATATTGGTGTTTGTTTATCATAATATATATTTAACCATCCCAGGTTGTATTATCGTAAGAGATAATTTATTGTTACTCGCACTAAAGAATGGTATAGTTAAATGTCTTTGCCTTTATTATGCATTTCGCTTGTACACCACGACCGCAACACGAGGGTAACGACGACAAAAAAAATGGAGTGGAAGAAGAAAAAAACGGGTAGAGCTGTGTTGGGGTACACGGCTATGGGTTTTAATGTGAAACGTCTGTCAGCTAGTCGCTTTTCGTGTTAGAGATTGAAATGAAAAAAGATAAAGATTGACTTCATTTTAATAATTTTAAAACAATACTGCAACACCAGAAGAATTGCAGGTGCGTTGCCGGCCTTTTTAAAAAGGAGTGAGCTCAATTCTTGGTCCCTAAGTCGCTTCGGTCCGCCGATGGTAAACGATTCCACAAGATATTCGTGCGAGGATGAAAACTCCTAGTAAATCGAACGGTAGTGGAGGTAATGTAAGTTTTGTCGCAATGTGCGTTCGTGAAATTTGGCGGCTGGGATTAGTCCGAACAATTCCTCAGATACCTTATTTTATACGTGGTAGAGCCTTGGCTGATATTAAATTAGTAGTATAGTTGTAGCACGAATGGGTCGGCTCGACCGGGGAAGGACCACGCTCTCACAGAATACCAGCTTAAATTATTAATTTAATGCTGCTGTGTTTCGTATGGTGAGTGTAGAGAACCGGAGATCCTTTTTACTGAAAACGAGGCACTCCATCGTAGTCCGTTAGTCTTAATCTTAGTCGGCGTTAGTCCTCACGGGTGACAACGCATCTGCATTTTGATTTTTAATCGAGGATAGATGTAGATGTCTATGGGCCACAGCAACCACTTACCATCAGGTGGACTGTGTGCTAGTTTGTCAACCTATCCTATAAAAAAAAACCCTGGGGTTAATGCGATAGAAAATGCAAAGGAATGCAACTTCTCGCAGCGCCAGTGAATAGAGCCGATAAGAGAGAACTTGGTCATTAACGATTCGAGGAGAGCTCTGCGCTAGATGCGGTCAAGTGGAAGTAGCTCGCACTGTGGAGACCCGGCCCAGAGATGAGAAGTCAAGTCGAGGCCAGATCTGCGCCTTGTAAAGTTGCAAGGATGCGGTGTACCGGCATAAAATACTGTCCCGCTCTGCTGAACACGCCAAGCTTTTTAGAAGCCAATTTAGCCTTCCCTTCCACCACGTAACCACGAAACTGCACGTCATTCGATATGGCGATGCCCCGAGAATTCAGATATTGGCCGAGACAAAAAGGGGAATGCCCTGAAAGTGAGGAGAAAGGGGTTCTTTTTAGCAGTAAACGCACAAACTTTGGGGATTGAACTTGACTATATTTAACCAGATGAGTGATCCCGATGGAAACCGTATTAGCATTCACTAATCAGCTGGTATTGTCAAGGCGTCGTTTACTCAGCGTGTCGGGGCATCTTTAAGGGGGAATACAACCTCAAATGTCTTAGCAAGATCCTCCGTTATGCCGAAAACATTGCAGCATTAATTTTGAAATAAATATATGGTATAGTTGAGGATTAATGTTAAGTACTATGTTAAACGAAAACATGATTCCGTAAAATATTCTCGACAGAAAAAAATTCCAAAGTTACCTCCAAACTGAACAATAAACCGCTGATATTCATAAAATACTGTTCCGCGGCTAAGTTGACATCTGGCTCTAGCGCCATCTAGTGTCGGGTAACAGAGCGAGGAGAGATTTCCAGAAAATGACATGACTAATCTTTCAACCGACAGCGCCATCTAGTATCGAATTGAAGAACTAAAGCTTTCTGGAAGCCCCCACACTTTCTGTTCTTGGTCGGTTGGCGCGCGTAATTATTCGAATATTCTGGATGTTTCGTGGAAGAGCCCTATATAAAGGCGCTGCAATACGCGATCGGAGAAGTATTGAATTTGGCGAGACAAGCGAAGCTTCGGAGCGGAGTAAAGTGAATCAGTGTGATTAATTGTTAGTGTTTTAAGTTTTAATTTGTGTAAAGAAAATTAAAGTGTTAATTTAGGTAATTTTATCGGCAATTTTATTGTCACGAACCTCAAGCTCGTAACAATGAAAATAATGGTAATTAAAAAAAAACATAAGCCTCGCTTTATAGTTAGTTCAGTTAGTATGCAAAGTTTCATGATCTTATTTAAAGTATTTTATGGATAACAGCGGTTTATTGTTCAGTTTGGAGGTAACTGGATTTTTTTTCTATCGAGAAAATTTTACGGAATCATGTTTTCGTCTAACATAGTACTTAACATTTATCCTCAACTTTACCTATTTATTTCAAAATTAATGCTGCAATATTTTCGGCATAACGGAGGATCTTGCTAAGCCATTTGAGGTTATATTATCCCTTAACAGATGTATGATTTGTATCTTCACTTGTTACGTCCATAGACACTGGTAAAAATCTCAGGGTCGGCGTCAGAGGTAGAGGTCGCGGAGTCGGCATCTCGTTTTCTAAGCGTGCCTTGGCAGCTTTGATACACTTCTACATCGCTCGCTTGGCACCGGTACCCATGTGTGGCCAATGACCGACGCCCCCCTTTCTGATGATAGCAGTTATTTATATTTCTTGCTGGGTCTTGCACGGGTTGAGGCAAACATATTTAAATATTATATTAACTACATTTGCTGGTTATTTTTGAATTTGATTCCATTGTTGTAAATAAACTCTAAACACACGAAAGAATCACCGCGCTATCATGTGTGTTTTTTTTAAAAAGAATATTAACAATGCTATGTACATTACTAATGTTCCCCTTAACCACTCGTAGTAAGCTTAAATTGCTTGTGCTACGGAGTATGCTATACAAGGTAAGCTTAAGTTGGAGTGTGAGTTGCACTGAATAGAGTGAAAGCGCGTATATAGGTCGAAACAACGAGCTGACCATATTAGCAAAATAATGATACTAGATTAATGGTTCTTATACCAACAGTTTTATTAAGGTAAGACTATATAGACTTTTGTCGTTTTTGTGTGTATCGGTGTGTGTATCGGTGTGATTTTAAAGACGTTTCATGTGAAAACCTGCTTGCCTGGGATTAAAGAACAAACAATTCTGCTTGAGACCCGAGTATACAACATAACTTTAATATACTTTTATCTTAAGAACATTGTTTCATTTAGTCATTACTCATTATAGGCATTTCAAAGTTGTACTTATTCAGTTTTTAATTTACGTGTGTATTTAATTGACGTTACTCTCCAATAACTAAACACTATTAAATTAATATTGTTGTAATAAATATCGTTATTAGCGCCGTTTTCAGGTACCATGAATGCTGACAGTAAAGGCTCAATGAACCGCCATTTCTTAATCTATTCTTTATTCGCGCGTATAGTACTTACTATGGAAGGTTAAAGAGAAGTAGGAGTGTCCCAGAAATATGGACAAAATAAGTGAGGCCCTGCGATCGTTAAGTTCTCTCAATAAGTCATTTTCAGTCTATTTTTACAATCAGATGCTAAACCACTTGCACATCCATGCACAATAAAATGTTTCTTCATTTTTTTAATGTTTCTTTTTGTCAAAAATTAAAAAATTACGGAGCACGATTATTTTCGCACCAATGCCGCGAAGAAAATTTGTCTACTTGTACTCATAAACAGCTAACTACGCAGCCCCTACTCACCGACGGCAGCGCCGCTATAAATTCTACATATTTTCAGGGACAGGGACAGGCGGGCTATGCTTTAGTACGTAGCGATCGTTCTCCTTGTCTCTAACCTCCATGGTACTTACATAATCTACTCTCGAACTAGGAGACTGCTTTTTTATACTATTATATTAATTCTACAGAGTTAAACTGCATACTCAAACAAACTTATGAAATAAAAACAAACATTTTATTTATTTTTTCTTTTCTTTCTTTGTTTGCATTTTTCCATAGAATCTGAATTTTCAATTTGTTGAAATTTCTTTAGGTCTGCACAAAACAGTACCTGAAAATAAAATTAAATTAGGAGAAGTAAAACTAAATCAATATTTTGCTACCTTAATAACGATAATGCTACTAGAAAGAGCCTATAACAAAGAAATAAGATGCACCAAAACCTACATCAGCTGTTTATTTTCACATTAAAAATATATCGAAAACCACTTAAAAGGCTACAATTATCTCTTCACTAAATGAAACCTCTGGTTGAGTAGATGGAGGGAGAGACATCAAATGTAAGTATAGATTATTCTTGACTGAGATAGTCAAGTTCTAACTTATTCTATATTTATATAACAAGATGGCTATATTAATCATATATGTTGATTTAGTGCCAAAAAAAATTACAGTCTTGTTCTGTCTGATACTATAGTTGTAGCACAAATGGGTCGGCTCAACCAAGGAAGGACCACGCTCTCACAGAAGATCAGCGTCAAATAGTAGCTTAATGATGCTGTGTTTTGTATGGCGAGTTTAGAGAACTGGACACCCTTTTTACTGGAAATGAGGCATTCCATCTTAGTCCTCACGGGTGACAACATATCTGCATTTTGATCATCTTAGTCCTCACGGGTGACAACACATCTGCATTTCGATTTGTAATAGATGTAGATGTCTATGGGCTACAGCAACAATTTACCATCAGGTGGACTGTGTGGTCATTTGTTACCCTCATTCTATAAAAAAATTGCGTCATTAATAAAATTTTATATTTAAGTATATTGTAAAAATGCAAAATGAAAATTATCGCATCATGTAGCAGAAATAGCAGACAAAGTCAGCCAGCCAGTACGGCCAGGTGTAGTATCATATTTATGTCTCAACATACTACAAAAAAGTGAAATACAGTTCAATACCATACCGTATGAGCCCAACCAGCCATATCTCCATAGAGATTTCTGAAATGATCGCCAATTTCTGCATACATCTTGTCTGTAACATTCTTTTTTCCTCTTAGATGTGGTAAGTAATTTTGTGCAGCAATTTGATACACATGAGTGTCCACTGGCAGGGCTTCCAGATGATTCAGTGACATTAAGCATATGCAGTCTGCTACCTGCAAAACCAATTATGATTTAATACAAATTTTAACTTCTCCACTATTTAGATATTCCAATGCTATACAAGGTGTAAGTTTAAACACCATTGTCACTAAAACCATAGGTTGGATTTAATACAAAAATATTTATCCGAATTAAAAAAAAACGCTGTTTTCTTTCATAAAATTTAAAAAGTTTCTGTCCGACACCGTCTGTAAATTCATGGATACCCTATGCGTCCGAGTGACGTAATCACTGTAAAGATCACCGCCCGTGCTAGCTACCTACACAACATTCCAATAAAAACACAATAGGTACACATAACCTGTGATGTAAATTTTCCTTCATACTTTCATCCTGGCTTATTTGAGGAATTAAGGAAAAATTTACATTTTACTAAAAAAAATGTTATTTTTCATTGAATTTACGTTCCATAAGTAAATCCAAACCACTGGTTTCAAGGATAACGGTGTTTACACTAACATCCTGTGTAACTATCTTTCTACATTACCAGCCTATCACATTCATTGGTGAGCATAGGCTTTTCTACAGATTTCTACAAAAATTCTGAGATGCCTGCATGCATGATCATCAGGTCCTCACTTCATCTAGTATGGGCCGCTCATTATGCGTCTGTTATAGAGATTATAGTGTATGGAACACATTGTATCTCTTTTTTCCATGGTCTGTGTGGTAAATAGCAAAATGCCCACATCTTAGTTTCAAATTAAACATTCCATTGTAAAAACACTCACCTTAGGGCCAATTCCGCATAATTTCATAAGTTCTTTTCTAGCATCTTTGTATTTCATCTCTTGTAGGCTGTTAAACCATTTCTCTCCACCCCATTCCACAATTTGTGCAGCCGACTTTTGAATGAATTTCGCCCTATATCCAAAACCTAGTTCCCGCAGTTTTGATTCTACCTACAATAAAAAAAATTACAATCAATAACTGACCAGTAACTATAAATCTGTTTGAATGGCGTTGACTGCAATTTGAAAAATTTACTTTTGATAAAAATAAGAGCCTATTTTAATAAAACAATTTCCATCTAATATTTTCAGAGGTTTTTTAGTTTATAGAAGAATTAAAACCCCGATTTCAGAAACTGATATGTGGATGTCATTGAATTATTTTTAGTTCTTTAGTCTACTATTACTTCCTGTTATAATTAAATCTTTTTACCTCTTGAGTGGACTAAGAATAACATAAACTAAAGGTCGCAAATTTATTCAGGACCACCCCCAAAGTATGTATAAGCTATTAATACTATAATTAAATTAACACATTCCCTATTCCCTTGCTATTGTCTAACTACTCTGTCTGGAAACCAGACAGTGAGTTTCAAAATTAAAGAATCATTGTAATTGGTTCATAATTTACGAAAATATTGTGTAACATACATACAAAAAATTACACTGTATGAATGAGAATGTCTTTTTGTATGTTGGCTTATGAATTTTGGATGATCTTTTTGAATATAAAGAATTTGATGCTTGAATTATAAATTCTTAATAATTTATAATCTTTGGTATTTTTTGTGAAAAAAAAATTGAATAGTGACAATTTAGCCCAATCTGACTTCTTAAAGCTCAAAGAACTCACAAACAATGGGGAATAAAAGTTCTCGAGTGGTAACTTCTTACCGGTAAGCCTCGAACTAGTTGGAGTGACAACCTGGTCTTCAGGAAGTCAATGGATACTGGTGGCTCTGGACCGTGATTTGCTTCTTAGATAAGGCTCAGCTCAGCAGTGGACTTGTGAAAGGCTGCAATTAAGATACACCAAAATGATGATGTATCTTCAAATAAGCTGCAGGGATTGCTTCAATATAAAACATTTCAATTATGTTGCTAATTATCACTGAATATGGTCATTAATTTGGTAGAATATAGTAGTCATACAATATTCTAATAAAATAAGACTTAACCTGTTTAGAAAGCTATAATCTACAAATCGACAAATAATAAACATAAAAACATTTAAAAATGAGGTATAAATACCTGTGGATCTGATAATTTTTCCACTTCTGGAAATGTGAAATATTTTACACCATCATGATTACATATTTCTTCACCATAAAACATACATAATTTGTCTACCATGCTTGATATTCTAAAACAAAGTTGTTTATACAGTATTCTAAGATATGGTTTTTAATATACAGATATTCAAGAAAATTTAAATGTATTTATTAACTACATGAATAAAATAATTTGAGTATACCTCTAGTATACTTAAATTATTTTATTAACAAATAATGGTAACAGTAAATCTGTTACCGTTATGGCCTATTAAAGTCACTACTGAATATAGAGCTTACTCATAGATTGCTTTATAGAGGGGATATTTGCTATAGTTGCTACGCTTAGCAAGCGGGTTGGCAACCACAGTTTTTTTTCTGTCATTAGGAAGACGCTTGTGCCCATATCCTGACTTGTTACCCTTTGTCGCCCCTTACAACACCCATGGGATGATATGGGGTAGTGGATATTCTAACACTGCCAGTACATGGTCCAAATATTTGCGTGCATATAATTCTGACCATTACAATCAATCGGGGTAACTTTGATTAACAAGGGTAATTTTGACAGTCAAATCGCAAAATACTCTTATTTTTTACGTGAACAACGTTTAGTGCATAACATTAAATTTATATTCGTGTACTTAACTAACTACGTAAACGAACTCTACAAAAAAAGTAGCTGTCGTACGAAGTTAATGTCAAAAACTTTCTAAAAGTACCATGCGCAACTGTCAACTGTCAACAGTCTTTTTGTAGTGATAAACTTTTAAAGAGGAATTTTAATTGTGATTACCAAAGAGTTTAAATAAAGATAGAACTACAACTTTGTGGTTTTATTGACTTGTTTATGACTCTAATGCATCTGAAATTTGTAAAAAACTTAAACTAATGTTACCCTGAAGCTATAAAGTTATCCATATAGGGGTACTTTTTTTTGTACTTTGACACACAACAAAATTGCCCGTTTTTGATATACTTTATGAATTTTATAGACATAAAATAATTTGAGAGTATGAAAACCAACCTGAGCACATATTAAGTACACTCTTATGTCTCACATTTAACATAGTAAAAGTCAACTACAAAAATATAGAGTTGATCTGTCAAAGTTACCCCGATGGACTGTATAGAATCATTTCATGATGTCTGAATCTTGTGGCCTCTAATTGACGGCAGTATAACTATCTCAAAAGTGATATCTATCCATAGGGTTTTTTTTTAGATGGCCCATACACCTACAATATAATTGTACAATATTAATTAAATACTGAACAATTTTATTGTAACATATCCAGCATTTAATAATATTAAGGCAATAAAATTGATGGGCTATAAATATTGACGCAAGTGGCTTAATATTGGCTGTGAGCAAAATATCTGACGACTATGTTTTCTTTTTAGTATAAGGGTGACAAACAAGCACACAGTCCACCTGATGGTAAGTGAATGCTGTGGCCTATAGACATCTACATTTATCCTCAATTAAGAATCAAAACACAGATGTGTTGTCTCCCCTGAGGACTAAGATGCAATGCCTCGTTTCCAGTAAAAAAGGATCTCCACACTCACCATACGAAACACAGCAGTATTAAGCTGCTATTTTATGCTAGTATTCTGTGAGAGTGTGGTCCTTCCCCGGTCGAGCCAACCCATCCATGCTACAACCATAATATAGCTGCAGCGTGGCTCTACGACATATAAAAATTGATTGCTACTAAAAAATACTGCACAATATGAATCCGGTGGTGAATACAGTGCACTGATAAAATTGTGCAAACATCAATATTATTTCAATTCTACCTCCAAATTTTCTATAGTATTTTACAATCACTAATATGGCACAATTACAATATTGCAGGGCCACCTTTGACCAGCATTTACAAAGTAATTTATAAATAGCCTGGTCATGTATTAAAAGATAGATAAATGTAGGTATAACAAAAAGCATCAGCTTCATCCAAGCTGGGAGAATTAATTATAACTACATTTTTATTTACTACATATATATTAGCAATGTTATATTTATATTACCAATTTTTATGTTAACAACTAAATGTTAAATTAGTACACAAAGGTTGTAAATGTCAGAACTTACAAGTATTTAAGTTCACTCTCCCCACAAACTAATATGACTCTCGCTATTATCATTAAACAACACAGTCAATAATCACACTATACATAATAGTATTTTAGTATACCTGGAAATATGATTATTTTGGCTGCAAATAAAAGAAAACAGATTCTCTACTGGCTCTTGAGCTAGCATTCTGATCCCATAAAATTGTTTACATGCTGATTGAAATAATTTATCCTTTTCAGACCATTCCTTGTAATATTTTCTTAGATCATGATCAAGACGAAAATATTTTTTTAACAGAATTTCGAAGTTTTGTTCATCTGACAACTTGTGAGTTTTTGAGTTATTTTCAGATATACTTTTGTTTAAGGAACCAAGCACCTGATATTGCAGGAAGTTATCACTCTGTTTTAATTTCCATACAGTTTTGCTAAATACACCAGTCCACTCGTTACTATCTTGATTGTGTGTCCATCTAAAATGTTTTGGTTAAAAATATAGAAATGCAAATCTTATCTTGAAATATCTTCAGAGTCAATTCGTCGATAATTACCTGAAACTTTGACCACCATTAAGAGTACCAAGTAACTGGAGTTCACAGGGGTTACAAAATAATTTATTCCAACTCATTGTTAGGAAAGTAAATGTTTTAGCATTTTAGAAATTTATAGATCTCTTTTATAGTTTCTATCGTAAAAATTCACAAATATATTTAGAATAATCTATAGTAAAAATATTATTTGTAAATGTTATTCCATATTTTTCTGCATTTGTGTATTTAATTTCGTTTAATATAACTTTGTGTTTTAAGGTTTTGTCGTGTTAGTCTCATCTCATTTTATCCTTGCCAATGGATAAAAACACATGATTTGAAGTATCATCAATGCACCTATTACATCGTTTCTAATAATTCATGTCGGCAGACATTGAAAACACAAAGGCACACTATTATTACGTATCAAAAGCAATTTTATACCACTATATAAACGACTAAACAGTAATAGAAAGAAATAGAAACCGCAATCTGTATATTCAGTAATCTATGCCGCAATCAGCCGATCAGCCGTCGGATCAGTTCCCGCCAAACCGTTTTGTTTTTGTTTGTCATAGCGTTTAACTCACGCGCGAGCGGCGAGGCGAGCCACGAGGTGTGAGAGTAAACTGCACAGAACACTAATACCCTTAGAAAGTAAACTGCACAGACTAATATGATACTTACGGTAAACTGTAAACGCTGGCTCGTGGCTCGCCTCGCCACGGAGGTGGTTTTAGGCACGAGTCAAAGGGCCTCGCGAGGGACGCGACCGTGGTGTTTAAACTCGCGCTCTTGTTTAAATGGTTTACGGCGCCCTTCCGTTCAAGTAAATTATTTTTTAAGTTAAACGTTATTGAGGTTCTTTCGTTAATGAATAGACGTCTAAAATATTTCATAAAATTATTTAGAATTTCATTCTATCATGTCAGCTGCGATGCACGTGTACGTCATTAGCAGGTGTTGTTTGCCTTAATTTTCTGTAATACCTATTAAATTTTCTTTTTGCAATATGTGTAATATAACAAGCTATATTTTGCATTCAACAGAGAACTGCAACTTTATTATAGTTGTAGCACAAAGAGGTCGGCTCGACGGGGGTAGGACCACGCTCTCACAAAAACCAGCGTAAAATAACACCTTAACACTGCTGTGTTTCGTATGGTGAGTTTAGAGATCCGGAAACCCTTTTTTACTGGAAACGAAGCATATCATCTTAGTCCTCGGGGGTGACAACGCATCTGCGTTTTGATTCTTAATCAAGGATATTTTTTTAATGTCCTTCTTTTTAAAATGGTCAGGCATCGATAAATATTTATTAAGGCAAGAGTTGATGCCGCTATTATTTCCACGTCTTCCGTCGTTGTTGGCTCAACGCATAGATTACTGGCTCAACGCAAACTGAACGCATCGCGAGAGTGTAAACAGGCATTCGTTACCTCGCAACAACACGCGATCTGCGAAGCGAGGTACGAGGCGAGGCGCGAGGCGAGTATATATATAAAATATATGTATATACATAATAATTATTTTATTGCTTCCAAAATTTTTATTTTCAAAATCACTCTCAACGTATTTTACGGCGATTTATCATACCCTGGAGCTACTCGAGCGCTGTTGTGGAGAGTTTTTGAACTGTTATTTACTGTTTACAGAAGGATACATTTTCAACTATTCTCCTATGGAGTGTAGAGGTAAGGAGTACAGACTGTATAAAAAAGTGTTCGTAGGAAAGTGCTAAATAAGGGTGGTGCCACTGTAGCTACAGTCTTAATTATAAAGATTTTTTTTATTTCACAGACTCACCATAATTCTTTTTACAATAATTATTTTATTGCATTTGAAGGGCAGACGACCAAAGATATTGTAAATAGCTTTGCGATAGGATTTGATAAGGCTGTGAAAAACATAATCAAAACCTGTAATTTGAATTTGTTAAGTCCCAGTAAGTATTCTCGGCCAAATAATTCTAGTATATACTTTACAAAAAGCAACCTGTGACAAGGTTAATAAAATAATCAAAAAACTTAGCTCTAATAAGGCACCAGGCTATGATAATATTGGGGTTTCTGATATAAAATGTATGGACACAGACGGAGCCACGGCCATTGCCAATTGTTGAAACTGGCATTTATCCCGACGAACTAAAGATAGGATGTGTTAGACCAATATACAAGAAAGGAAGACGGGATGATTTCCTGAACTATCGACCAATCACTTTATTATCTTCAATAGATAAAATAGTAGAAAAGTATGTGTGTGAACAAATTTATAAATTCTACAATACGCACGACGTAATATATCAAAATCAGTATGGTTTTCAAGCTGGGAAGGGTACAAATGATCTTTTGATGAAGTTAACAGATGAAATTAACGAGTATCTTAATAACAAAAAACATGTACTCGTCCTATTTATAGACTTTTCACGGGCATTCGACACTCTTGATCATAAACAAATTATCACTAAGTTGGACGATTGTGGAATACGGGGACCTCTTCTGAGATGGTGTACAAATTATCTTAAAAATAGGAAATTCTCTGTGAGAATAAATGACACACACAGCGACCCGGTGACTGTAACTGAAGGCACAGCACAGGGATCTGTGCTTGGCCCCATCCATTTTCTGTCATATGTAAACGACATGCGCTTTTACATAAATCACTGTTCATGCTACCAGTTTGCAGATGACATATGTTTGCTAGTCGCCCATAAAGACCCTGATATAGCATGTGAATTGTTACAGTCTGACTTTAATATGCTTGCAAAATGGTGTCATGACGCCGGATTGGTTCTGAACTCTACCAAAACCAAGCTATTACACATAAAGTCTCCTTATATCAAGTGTACTTTATCCAAGCACATAGTTGCTCACAATCATAGTTGCCTTCACTCATCTTGTAAAGATACATGTAGTTGCCCCTCTATAAATCTCGTCAATACCCAGACATATCTCGGAATGCAGATCGATAGTAAGTTTACTTGGCATAACCACATCGAGTATGTTTGTAGCAAATTAAGACAATTCGTAGCTAAGCTAAGCTAAGCGTAAGAATTCCGTTCCCAGCTAAGATGATGTTATATAACTCTCTAGCAGAATCGTATATACAGTATGGTTTAGGTAGCTATGGTCGTACATATAATACTTATTTAAACAAAATATATAACCTCCAGATAAGAATCCTTAAAAACATTGTAACAGACAAAATTCAACGTCAATTTCATAATGATGATAGTATGCTCTTCAAGCACTGTAATATATTACCAATTCATACGCAAGTCAAATATTTACTACTAAAAAAACACTTTTTTAATGAAGACTTAATATTAGAAATCAAGCACCCCGTGTGTACGCGCGCCGTAAGCAGCCGCAAGCTGCAGACAAGCCGTGCAAACAACATTTACGGGGAACGAACGGCAGGATACATTGTTCCAAGACTTATAAACAACTTACCCTCAGAATTCCGCGACAAATTAAATATAAAAAAAATTAAAAAAAACTTAAATTGTAATTTTTGGATAACTTATAATGGTACTACTTAAAACAGCGTTTATGCGTTTGCTCAGGTCCTATTAGGCTGTAAATGCTTTCTCTTTTTCTTTTCTTACAAACGTAATTAATTATTAATTATACTTTAATATAATGTCGACTCAGGTCGCGTCAGCACAAACCTTAGTGGTTTTTGTATGCGACATTTTAGCATAGTTTTTTTTCTTGTAATGCTTTGTGATATGGTAAATAAAAAAAAAGCTAGACTACTAGAGGGTATGAAAAGAACTTAGCAGTTGTCGACGGAGTGAAGTGTGATAAGTTGAGAAATTAAATATTTGTGATGACTAGAGTAGTTGATGAAACTGCAGTATTTCAAACCTTAACTATTCACGTTGTCTAAAATAATTTAGTAAATAATTTATAACCTAGAAAAAGTCGCGGTGAAACATGTTGAGAATGATGTTGAAAATAAAAAAAATTGAAACCAATAAAATAATTATTATAAAAAAGGATTATGGTGAAAGTTCGTGCAAATAAAAGTTATAAAAGTTCTTTAAAATTTACCCACTAGCTACAGTGCCGCTATCGTTATTTAACGCTTTTCTACGGACACTTTTCAATACAGAGGCGGTTCTCCCTACCTCCATGTTTTCTATGTTGGAAGTCATAGGCCTAGTTAGAGGATCGACTAAGTCTATGTATTATACCTCTATTACACTATACTTGAATCAGGGTCCCTCTAAGCCTTATTATGAAAGTTCTTATGTGACTTTAAGTAGATGTTGTTGTTATCAACAAATAATTTCATTGATTTGTTTTTACTTTTTTAACCGATTTCGATAAAAGGAGGCGGTTCTCAATTCGTTTGTTTTTTTATGTATGTTCTGTTCCCCGATTTCTCGAAGATGCCGATTTGGAAAATTATTTTCTTTGTTTGAAAGGATGTACTTTCCAGATGGTCCCACCGTAATCGATGATAGTCAGGTCAGCATCTGATGATAGGATCTTAGAGAAATCGAGGGAACTCTTTAATAAATGATAGCAAATCAACCGCGATTGCTGCTATCGCGTGTCTATGCATTGTTTGCGGAATCACACAATATAATATCACGCCTGTACCCACTAAAGGGGCTTAACTCACCACTAAAAAGGATAGTATAAAAAACTTTTTTGAACAAAATATACTTAACCGACTTCTAAAACAAACAGAAAAAAAGTGTAAAATAATTATGTTTTCTTTATGTTTTTGTATTTTATTGTAGGTTACGAAAATATCACTGTAGGTACTATGTATGCTGAACAGGTATTCACTTACCATAGCTAGTTGGCTATAATAACCCACAGGCAACTCCCCGAAGTATATGCCAGCCAGTGTCAGGATAACTGCTTTTTCGACAGCGCGATTTTGATGTGAGTGAGGCTTTTATATAGGTTAATTAAATAAATAAAAAATGTTAGTTTGTAAATTGTTTATTGATTGTTTGTGTACAATAGCGGTATGTAATATTCTCTTAGTACTTAGAAAGTTAACAATAGACATTGTGTCACTACAGGGACAAGCACAAACGTCTATCAAAATAGTAACGTACCTGTACGAAATACTAACA